GCAGCTGCAAACTTTTCATAGGCAACCCGGGTCGCCTGGGAATTGGAGAGGCCGGTCGTCACCATGTGCTTCAAGTTCTGCACAGTGAAGGCCCTGTCGGTGTTCTTGGCCGGCGCGTACACGTTGACAGGAGCTGCCACTCCGGTCCATCCAGCGGCAACAAGCTCAGCCTGGGCTGCAGCTGAAGCTGTCCAACCTCCCGGCTGGAGTCCGTAAATCTGCCCGAGGTCATCATACATGGCAGTGACCAAATTCGCAGACAGGGCTGCTTGGCCGTGTGCGGCCGGGTTGAGAGTTCCATGTTGCGCCACGAACCCCTCAGTGTCAGTGGCCCACGCCGGAACTGCGCCTCCAGCGATCGAGCCATTTGCCCTTGATGCCACAAAGTCAAGCGTGTATAGCCCAGTATCTCCAAACTCGCGGAAGGATGCGAGGTCAGTGGGAAGAGCCCCGACGTATGCAGTCACACGGCCCTGTGTGAGCAACCTGTACTCAATGGCCGTGTGATGACTGAAGCCAAGGGTTCTGTCCACAGCACCGGTAACACCACCTTGCCTTCGAGTAGAACGGCGCGAAGGTTCAAAACCTGTCCTTGGGACAGCCATGATCTGTTGCTTTGAAGCTCCCCAAGGCTACGCCGTTCTATGCACAATGCTACCCGAAATCAAAACAGAGATCAAAGAACGGAGTAAACCATAGTAAACCCTCTTTAACAAAGCTCTGGAAAGAGGTGAAGAATCTCTTAATTCATGGAGCACAATGCCAAACGCCTGTACACATATTGGCAGCAGTGTTTTACTACTTGGATCGTCCATGTCCATCCAAGGAGCAGGAAGTTGTCCGCCTGCTCGCCCAAAGCTAAAAGGGCCTGGCCAATGAGAGAAATGACTCACAATGGGGCAAACACTTTGATCTCGGAACCTTCAAAATCAGAACTACCATGAACAATCCATGAACCACCCACTTTTCCTCATGAAAAACTAGACTCAGTCTTTCCCACCCATAAACGCTTGGTGTTACCGAGGCGGCCGCGCCGTGCCGCCCACCTCTTTGGACCGTGGCCGGAACCATCGTGTCTGGTATGGAAAACGGCATCCGGATGCTTAGAATTCGGTTTTTGAACACTAAAGAGGTGTCCTTAAAAACCGAATTAAACATGCTTAAAGAGATGTCCTCAAGACATGTGAAGATCTGCTGCGTCTTCGTTAGCTTCATCTGTTTTTTTTTCACTGGCGGCACAGAAGAGCCCCGTTGGAATTGGATCCCTGTTCATCCTCCTCTTTCGCGCCAACGAAGAAGTGGCATGCTAGGTGTAGAGATTCACTGAGCAGGTGATTTTAGAATGATTGAAGAGGTCGGATTGATCGAGCCCCTATCTACAGAGACATGGCTGGTCACTGCCTGTCTGGTTGTTGGCATCCTTCCAAAGTTCGAAATCACACACGCAAACAAACCGCCAGCTTCAAAGGAGCTCAATTTGGAAGCTATATGGCTATATATATATATATTGCATTGCCCTCCAAAGGGCCAATCTCTACACCATTGGACCGATTCCTGAACCACCTAAGAAACCAAAAACACTCGCAATACTTGCATTGGACCTGGTGTATCCTGGTGGACCTTTCGTTGGCTCAAAACCCAACTGCTACCTGCTGACGTCAACCATTAACACCAAGCTCGGGCAAGCCGAAACCAGAAATGCGACCTCTGTGCATCCGACTCACGGATCCGTCTCGACTCGTGACCGCCGACCGCCCAGGTCCCGCGCTGGCCAAGCGGAGGTATCGAAGCGAACCGTGCGGATCTGGTCGTTGGAGCAAACCTTGGACCGGAGTACAGCCGCACGGAACACAGCACGAGCCGCAAGTACACGAACGTTGACGCGGAGTGGGCACGGAGCCAGTTCAGATCTTAATAGGCCGTGTAATAGAAAGGATCTTCTGGAGGGTGAGGCTTCCAGCTCACTCTAGGCACTGTGTCTCTGCAAACACACTCACCGGGCTTCCATCATCAGAAGGGACCACTACCGCCTTCCAATTGCCTACAGGTCCAATATTTGTGAAGGAGGGTTTTGGGGTTGCTGTGGGGTTGGTTTGGAGATATTTGTGCTTCTTGAGCATTTTGGATGGGGGTAATCAATAGAATCATGTCACCAACTTGCAAATCGTTGATGTTTTAACTTGTCATGGAGGAGCTCCCCTCTCAACACATGGGACTTCCGAGAAATTTGAATTCCCCCGCCCATCCATGGGTGGGGCAACTCCCTCCCTATGTCCTTTGTGCACGCAAACACATTATTCAATCCAAGCACAAACTGCATGCACGTGCAGTTCCAAAGGTCGACCATAAAGAAATCCAAAGCAAGAGATCCAAAGTGTGAAAAATATGTGTGTAAATATGTAAATATAACATTTAAACACGCATTTAAACATATTAATGGACTGAATTTTTGGTTGTTTGGCCTAATCCGCCCAAATTAGCCACAGAAGTTCGTTGGCCAAGGCGCCACCAGTTCGATTGCCAGGCACCATGCCAAGAAGCGCATGGCCAGGACGGGATGATCTGCTGACAGCTGGAGTTTGTCGGGCTAGAAGTGCTGAAGCTGAAGCTGCATGGTGCAAGCTGGAGGTGTCGGGCATGCATGGAAAAAAAGAACACAACAACAAAAGACACCAGATAATACAAACTGCAGCTTGGCTTGGCATTGGCTGTAAAGCTTTCTTGCAAGATTGCTGCTTGAAGGTCTCACTAAAATACAGCCATAAGGTCCATGTCACTTGGGCAACTACGGTCCTCCAAAGCTTGGCGCCACGTGAGTCACACTGTGGCGACGACATGGACGGAGAGAGGGCGGCGACATGGACGATCGTGGAAACCGAAGCCAAAATGTATCGCTAGCTAGTCACAAGAAGCTACTAGTAACAAGTGCCACGCTAGTAGTAACAGGTGCCTTACTAGTAGTAACAAGAAGCTTTTAAATTAATTTAAAATCTAATTTAATTGTAATAGCGTCTTGTTACTACTAGTAACAAGTGCCACGCTAGTAGTCGCCATGCACTTGTTACTGGTAGCGATGCCTTCGGTGCTTGCGGCGCTCAGTCCATTTCTTCCTTTTGCCTTGTGCAGCATTCCCCGGCTAAATTGAAGGGTTGGTGCTTGTGTCCCTAAACCTCCGACCACCTCCGTTTCCTCCGTTTCCGTTCGGGGAGTCTTAATGATGTACAAAGGATATATGGTTGGAGCCCCTACTATAGAGTGTGATGCTCTGGCAAGGGCTCCACCCGGTTCGCTCGCTTTCGGTTCCGACGGACAGTTCGGGCTGGGGTGGCTTTTTGATTTGTCTAACTTCACGAGGAATCGAAACATACATGGAAGGCTCGAACAAGTCAGAACGCATCAGCATGCATAGTACAGCAAGCCCAGGTAGCAAGGTGATATATGTTGTATATGAATGTCCAATCTTCAGTTGCTTTTCAAGTTTTTTTCCAAGACTTTGATTAAAGAGTAATTTGGGGTGAGAACCATCAAGGGCGACAATGGAGTACAAGGAAATGCCAGTGATCCTTGCAATTGGCAATTGTCCAAACTCTTGACAAAGCCGGACAAAACCCGTTTTCTGCTGTATGGTCTCATAAAGCTACTCCGAAACCAAACATGACAAAGAACAAAAAAGGAGCAGATTCAATCTAGCAATATAGTGAGAACCTGTGATCAAGAGCCTCCCCAAGTTTTCCACCATATATCGTGCTACAGCTCGCTGGGAAAGATTGTCCCCTGTGTCAGGCGCATTTCTTTGGCCGAAAGGAATTCTGCTTCCACACCCTCTTCAAAAGCCCAACTCTCTCCAAACCCTTTTGTGACTGCATCGGCTGTATCCGCGCAGCAAAAAGGATTGCACGGAATGAGGAAAGGGAACATGCCTTCATTCTCGAAAGCTTCCCCCTCTCGTTCAAACGACTTGTTGACTATTTGGATGGGCAGGCCGCCCTCATTCCCTGCGCAAGAACCAGTGTATCTGAGGTTCACGACGTTTTGCGCACGAGAGTCCAAGGATGAGTCGCAAAGACCTTCCACTTAGCCTAGAATGACATTTGTGGCCCTTACTATTGCAGTTTCTCTTATACCGTGAATTTAATGTTGACTTCCTAATAGTAAATGGCCCGTGAATAGTACTAAATCTTTTCAAACATCAATTGTAAATGGCCCTCAAATAGTACTAAATGTTTTCTGGACCTTGATTTTCAGCTGCTTTCCTTTCATTGTCCTTTCCTTTCCTTTCATTGTCCTTTCCTTTCCTTTCCTTTGATTGTCCTTTCCTTTCCTTTCCTATTCAAATCAAGATTTTCTAGGATTTTTTTCTGGAAATCACATTATTTGGGGCCCACACTTGATCAAGGGGGGTTTATTAATAAGAGGCCCACATTATACATGTTTCATCATGGTTCCAGAAACGCCAACAAACACCTGCTGACCTGTTGGAGATAAAATGCATGAAAGGGTTGGGAAATGTCGTTGGACTGTCGCTGCAGTCCATTTTCGCGATACTCTCCCAGCCATCCTAGTCGCCGCTACTGTTTGGCCACAAGGTTCAGTCGACAAAAAACCGCTGTGGTCAGCTGTTGCTCAAGTGTCATGAACTCTTGATCCCATTCCCACTAAGATGGGGTGTGAACTTGTGAGGCATGTGGAGAAAGGGTGGTGGGCAACCCAGGACTCCCCGGACATCATCCGACTCGTCCCTTGGGACGAACGGAGGACTCGTCGGACGAACGTGCCTCGATGACTCGAGGCGTCCTCAGCCTATTCAAAACATGTGACGGTCTGCATCCACCTGTGCCTTCTCATGTTTGGACACTCCCTCTCGCAAGTCTTCAGTGTGCAAAATGACAGGCATCAAAAAGATTCAACAAGAATGCACTTTGCAAGCAGTTGCAGGAATGATGTCAGTATATAAATGGCAACAACATGTGGGCGATGTCAGTACGCCGTAAATCAAACAGCTTCAATGGAAGGTTGCATCATGCAACTGTTGTGTACCCTTCACCCCATTGGTGTGCTCGCAGTTCACTCAGATGCAGATCCATCAGACCTCAGTGATCGAAGCGCAAATTGCGAGCAAACGAATTCCGTACCCTTTGGACACCAACCTCCAGCGGTTCCTGGCAGATCCACACTGTATCTCTCAAGGAGTGCCCAACTTAGTTGATCTATCAGTTTTTGGACCTTGTCCAACAAAGCATAGCTTCGGGGCATGATGCGCAGTCGTCCTGGCGGTTTTTTTGGGCCGCCACGCTGAATCGATGCTGTGTACATGGTGACCGAACATCTCCGCAGGCATTTGCGCAGGCGGCCGGGCAAATCAACTGGAGAGGATATCTGACCTCAGTCATCACTGTGATGTTCACTGTGTCGACCGACTCTTTCTGCTATGAATGGGTGCCTTGGAAGCGCGAATCTGCAGGGATCACGCCTGTCTAGTTGAAAAGTCATGGAACCTGTTTCGACCGGTCTTGGGGACCACTACATATAATATATACATAACACATATAGTACATCATATGTAATTAGTAATACATATAGATAAATACAGTTAATATATTATAGAACAAACATCATAAGAAACAAATATATATATATATAATATACACGTGCTGCAGGAACTGTCCCTCAACTCTATATTTCAAATTTTCGTCACACATCGAACCCATCGAACTTCGAAGGGAGTCACGTCGCCCAAAACTCTCCCGACGCCCGACGCCGCCATGGCGCCCGAAGATCAACCGACGCTGCTCGGAGGTGTTCAAACTGGTCACGCTGTGCCTCGGTCACGCTGGGACATGAGAGAACACCTCCCAGCCCTGGCCGGGTAGACTATGGTGGTCCTATGTTCCTTCAGCAATTCGTGGCCTGGGAGGTTCTCCCTATTTCTAAGACCCACTTATTGTCAGGTTTTTTAGAACCTTATCGCCTATGCCGCATGTACCACTGCAGGGTTCCTCAAGTCTCTGAACCAGCCTTATGACTTCCACAGCAGTGAGTTTCTGACACCCGTCGTTTCATGTCGGTCAGCCTATGGAGTGTCTGAGTTTATTAGCTCGTCCACCCTCCACCCCATCGTGGAACGTTCCACGTCCGAGCAGCACAAAACAGCTGGAGAGCCGCAAACTACCCACCGCGAAGTCTGCCTCCACCTCAGAGCGGGCGACACTGGACAAAAACGTGACGGCCAAACGTGTGGTCCCTTGGTACATGATATACTCTAATCCACCATGACATTTCAATCTGACAAATTTTCTGACATGTATTGAAACATTATTTCGGCATTCTCTCTGGCGTATCTTCTGGCATTCTTTCTGGCGGTGGTTCAACATACCTTTATTTAGGTCTCTGAACCACATAAACATTGTCAACCGAAGAAAAAACAATTCTTAAAACACACAAAAAAAAACAAACGCCTTTGGCTCACCAATAAACGCCCTTAGCTTGTGTACAAACGGCCGTGGAATACCAGAACAAAAATCAGAAAACTAGATAAACATCCGCAGGCTCAACGCTGTGAAACCAACATATGTTTTTCACGCTGCATATAAAACATAAATATACAAAGAAAAACACTCTGAGGAAGTTCCAGGTAATCATATATATGCAGTGCCATGAAGCGTCTTTGTATAGTTGATCTTTGTCTGGTAACAAAGGACTTTTGCTCTGGAGCACTGTGTCCCACCCCGACCATCTGATGGCATGGCACGGGGATCCGTGTGGCGTCGTAAGAGCTGGGGCGGTCGTCCTGCGCAGCTGGCGGACGTTGGCGCAGCTTGGCACCCCGCGGCAACGAAAAGAGCTGAACTTCGGACACACAGCTCCTCAGGAGGAGCCTTAAAAACGAATCTAGTCCGAGATGGAGTCATAGAAAGCAAGTCTCCGGTGAAAAAGATCTAGTTTTCCACCCGAGTTGAGGTTTGTTCTTAACTGTCAAGCCATTGTCTTCCAACCGCCGTGGAAGGCGGTCCAGGACCTTCCACCGCGTCGCCTTGCCGCGACGGCGTCGCTGTTCGTCGCTTGACCGTCGCTCGCCTCGGAGTCGAAGGCCTCGTCGTCCTCCAAATCCTCCTCCACCTGACGAAAGGGGTTCCACCTAAATTCTATTTTGGGGTTCCACCTCCAAATCCTCCTCCAAATCCTTTTGTGGGGTTCCACCTGTTCGGAGGAGCGTTGACTTGATATGATCTTCCTGGAGGAGTTGATTCCTGGAGGAGCTTCGATATGATATGAATATGATAATATCTAACTTCATTCCTGTTACTGGGTGGAGGAAATTGTAAATAACACAAGTGCTAACTTCATTCTATGGAGGAACACTTTGAACCATGCTCTCTATCTGCACACTTTACACCAAAGAACACACAGGAAAGCTCAGGTGCCGAAAATGGCGAGAAAAGTTCCCAAATAGGGTGGCCCTATGGTACAAGCTCTCGTTGGCCCATGTGTTTGATTTCCGATGGACTTGGCTGTCATGGGCACAACACATAGCATTGGTGACAAACCAAAGGAATGCTCACATCATCATCATCATCATCATCATCAGAGCCAACAACTCTCCCCCATGCTCATGCAGGCTTCTGCTCCCCCTAGCTGGGGATAATTGTATCGGATGTATTGCTAGCCACAGGCCAAAAAGAACTAGTGCATACTAGTGCTCGCGGAACTCTTTCAGCAGCTGTGTTGCAATGTGTGACGTGCAAAAAAGGAACCCGGTCAATGCGCTGCAGTGTCTGGCTTTCTCTTCAGCCACATGAAATGACAGGTACAAAAATCTGCGAGGCCATGCCATGATGAACTAGTCCAGCGCAAAAGAATGGCATGGGTCTGGATGCGTCCTCGACGATACGTCGGCTCTTTCACATCCGTCGAACGTGCGTTCTCGATCCATGGCTGGGTGGGCCAGCCAATCAGGTCCAGAAGGATGTCCGAAAATACAACAAACAACGTTCCTCTGCTGACTCAGTCACAGTCTGACAGGCTGTGGGTCACTTGTCTCATCCACTGCCTCATCCCCACCGCGCCTGTACACGCCAGGCCTCTTGCCAAAGGTATTGGGCCGTGTCTGAATCTGCACCTCACGCATGACCACAACCATTATACAGTTGAATATGAGTTTATGTAGTTGTTGACCTCAAGGCCTCCAATCCTACAGGTCTAGGACCTACCTTTACTGGACTTGGTGCAAAAGTACCTTGGTCGACTAACCTATAGATGCTGTCGAAGCCAAACTTCAAAGAACCATGGCCAGTTGGACGGTTCTCTCATTCGAACACCACGAGGCAGCCAGAAGGATGGGGTGTTCACCAGGCTTGCGGCTTGGGAACACAAGCTCAACAGACAAATGGTAGGACCTTGCACTAAAGGTTGCACTGTGTCACATCACCTGGAGGTTTCGGCCATCCTTTTACTAAAGGGTCGTACCACATGGTTATATACATTGCTCCAAAGACGAACAATCCAATTGAAACAATGAGCTGTGCAAAACCGATGATTGATGGCTCCCCGCATGAATATTCGGATATGTTCAGGAAGGTCTACAATAGTAGAGATAGTCATATAACTGAAACAACAACATAGTTGTGTATATATATATGCATATGCATCATATATATATATATGCACATATCATGGTGCCACATTAATGATATAGAACAACCAGTCCTTGGCAGTGATCTACACCGGCAAAGCAAGCACCCACATGCTCATCTACATGACGGGTCAAGACTGTGTAGGATGGGGGAAGCAATATCTCGAATGTTGTGAGTCGGAATTTTGATCCACACGCACGGCATACAGCAGGTCGGTTTGAACAGAATACCCATGAATACCCAAACAAAAAGGACATTCATAGATGTCTTCATAGACATTCAGCTTTACGAATCCATGGGATCCTTATTATGATCCTTATCTCTCCCATACGAATCCGGGTCTGTGCCATCGAAGTCAACGGCGACACCGCCGACCTGTGACCTGACAAAGCAGTGCCCACACGTAGACGCGCAGCGTGCGGCCACAAAGGAAGTCACGCCGGAGCTCCTGTGGACCGGTCGCATTGTTTGGTTTCGGCCTGGTGGAAGGGCACGAGGGCCTGCGAAAGACTATTGCTCAACTATTGATTGAACAGATTTTACCATGTTTTATTTTTTTTATAACTCCTTATCACCTTATCAAGCAAGCAGTTCGCCGGATGGCCGCCGGCCTGGGGCCGCGGGGGTGCATTCGCGGACTTCCAAACGTGGGTGCATTCGCGGGTCCACAACTTAAGTGTCGCCACCGACCCAAAGACTCCATGAATGGACTGTACACACAATGGAATGGTTTCAGGGGTGAATGTAGGTATGCCAGTGCCGTGGAGTGTCTAAGCTACGATCCCTGCACGTGAACCACTTCAGGTTGATCTTGGAGCAGAATTTCACGCCATCACAACAGCTCTGCTGCGCTCCTCGGCCATCCGATGCATGACCTGCAAGCCGAGTGACATCAGTGCACCTATGACGTGCAGCCTCGCCAACCTGGATCCCCTCGCCCTCGCCTACAAAACAACACATCAAATGAATTTGAAGGCTCTCAAGTCCTGGAAGATCGACAAAGGGACAAACAAACTCATTTTTTTCTCTGAGGAGCATGTGACGATGCTCTTCTTGTATGACATTTAAAGGTGTTCTTGTCTGTGTGTTTGGTACGGTCTTGACACACGTTCATTAGCATTATCCCTTTGAGCAAGTTGGGGTTTTGTGTCGCCCTGCTTGCACTACGATACCCTTTCCTTCGCACCTCTTGCAAATCAGGATGGCTGTCACCGCATCATGGCAAATGCAAGTCAGTTGGTCTGGATTTTCTAACATTTGGGGTGGTTCTTTCAATCTCACTTAGTATATAGTGATGAACCGCAGCAGTGTGAATTTGTTGTCCCCCCAAAGAATCCTGAACAATCCTTCCACGTGTTCATCACAACAAAAATCCTTATCCAACACATACAAGGGAGGCCTGTGGCTTTACAACAGCAGCAACCACCGCCAACAACATCAACAACAGCAAGTAATACAGCAAAAAGAAAAGAACGGCAACAAACAAACCACGATCCGCCACACGACGCGCAGCACACGAAGGATCCGCCGAGCCTCACGGGGAGTGCTCAGTGAATTGCCACGACACCAGAACCTGCAGCAGAGCCGCTTGAAACCAAAACACGATAACAACATTCCATATCTAGTAATTACCTATAGCTCATATATAGAACAATATACATAGACAAGTATTACTGTATATTTATGGTACAAACATGAATAGGATATCATAACATCTCAAAACACATGATGCCCTCCAGTCCTCCTAGTCGACTCCAAATGGTACGGTCCGTAGAAAGCACACGCAGTCGACTCCAGGAGTCACATAGAGGGCCCCACGTTTGACGGCGCCACACCCGTTATCTGACTCAAAGCAACCCAGCAAGAGACGTATATATACAATATAACAATATAATATACATGTTATCAATATATAAATAAAATATTGTACAAATATATAAAGTATGTGTAACATCGTATAACGCAACCATATATATATATATACAAACCATTACAAACCTAAGAATTCTTGGGCCCTCCATGGCTGGGGTGTTACCCTCCATAGCAGAGGCCCAGACCCTCAAAACCCCAAACCCTTTCCGGCCCGGGTTCTTCAAGAATCAACAGTTCTTGAATGTTCTTGAACGTCATCCCTTTCAGATCCTTTCAGTCTCTCTCAGCAACGTCTGCCGGAGTCGCTTGATCCAACTCATGAGGTCTGGATGAGTTCGGTGAGTTCGGCACCCCCCAAAGTAGACATCGTTTTGTGGCACCAAAAGTAGGACCATCCTCATCACCTGGTAGAAGATCAAGTGGTCCAAATAATGTGCTGGTTTCTGAACCTCAAGTGTTGAGCACTTCATGAAACTCACTTGGGTCGCCCGAACCTATCCTCTTCGGTTTGATCCCATGTACATCAACCAGCAGGAGGCGAAGACTTCAGGATCCACTCCCTTGGAGAAACCCCCACCTACTCCGGACTCCTCGGTCCACCGCGGTGGACCCGCCGGGTCCAGCGCGGCTCGAACGGACCGTCCCGGGTCCCGGGCCATAGGAAGCCGTAGTTCGGGTCGGCGTAGGAGCACAAGACCTGATCCGATAGGTCGGCCCGAGCATTGGCGAAAGCCGAGCGAAGGGTAAGGGAAGCGTTTGTCACGGGAGCCGCAGACGGTTTTCGGATGCGAGACCAAGCCGTGAATCCGTACAAAAGAGAAGTGCCTGCTGAGTGAGCGCGTGATCTTGATCCATCCTATAGCAGCCCATCAATGGCTATATAAGCTCAAGAGGCGACGCCAACACTGGTCAAAGTTGCAAGGGTCATCATGAAGCAAAAGGCCAGCGCTCAGCGCAAAATAGCGCAGACGTGCTCCATGCCCAAGACCTTCTGCATGAGTTTGACCTTGTCTTCCGCAGACGCTCATGCCGGTGCCTTTCGATGCCTTTCGCACCACCCGTGAAGATTCACATGCAGCGGCCCCAGGTGGTGCGAAGCCAAGTCAAGGGGTTTAGTCAAGGGAAGGAACCACTGGTCACTCCTGACACTTCTGACACTCGGTTGCTTAGATCTGCACATATCCTGCTGGGATTTCTCCGAACCAAAGCTGAACATCCAAAGCTCTCAGACTGTGAGACGGCAGCATACAGGGACATCGCCTGACATCGCTGGAAAAAGGCAGGAAAGCCGAGTCCAAAGGTAGAACTCGCCCCCACCTTCTTTGCTGAAGGCGGCTACTGTCTGATGCACATATGATGAAATTTGATGAACTATATGACCAAATGTGCAAACTCCTCCGGCCCTATATGGATTGCATAATGTGTCCTCGAAGGAAAAGCTCCCCCATGCAACTGGCAATCTCCTCCTGTCGGATCTTCAAACCAAGCTGTCGGACCTTCATCCATCCAGTCAAACTCAACTGCGGCAGGAGTTCGGGATGACTAAGTCCTTGGACATCCACTCCCTGCTGAACCTGCAAAAGTCGATGGGAACTGCTTCCACTGACGGTGCACCTGGTGCACAGTGACATTCCGACCTCTGGTCCAGAAGCAATTCGTTTTGCATTCCGTCCTGCTCTTCAGAAATGCCTAGGGCCGAGCTGAGCGCCAGAGCCGAGCCGCTCTGCGCTGCTCTGTCCGTCTTCGAATCGGTCTGAACGGGTTCGAACATGGGAAAACCATGGAGTTTTCACGGAAACCCAGCAGTTTCAATCATCGGCACGAACTGACCCGGTGGCCCCGTTGGGCCTCGACACCCTCTTGTCCTGGAGAGCTGGCTTTTTCGGGGAAATGAAGCAGTCTAAGAAGTCCTCATTCCCATGTATTGGTCCCCTTTCCCTAAGAGAAAACACCGTCTTCAGCGAGTGGTTCGACGTCTCACCAGCCCGACGTCTCATTCCAGCGGATAGGGGGTGGTGATTGGACACCCCGAATCACCTAACCCGGGGCAATCCAGGGGTAGACAACCCTTCAATATCCTTCAATCCCAATAACCCTTCAATATCCTTCCGGGGCAATCCAGGGTTAGAGGCCCATGGTAGATCCTCACTTGCTCAGTTGCGAACCGTTGCCTCTTCGGTCGAGGTATCCCCGATCCCCAGATCACCGGTACACTGAGCGTGCGCTCAAGTGATGCTTTTGCGCCACCGGGGGACAAGGACAACGATGTTTGGGCCACCAAACGGTGGAAAAAATAAAACGGTAACCCAAACATCCAAGAACAAACCCAGAAACATCTCTGTTAAACATCTCCTAAACATCCTGCAAAGAAGTGGATACTCTGATATTCTCCAAGGTGTTGAAATGCCCATCACTTGAAATGGCCATCACATTGCCATCACCCAAGTCCAAGGTAGAAAATTATAACATGTCATCTTTAACTACAGTCCCTGACCGTGGAAGACTGGAAACACGATGCCCGAACACCCATCTATTCGATGTGCAACCGATGCCCCAACACCCGAGGCCACTGGAGGGCGCCTCTAACTGGTTTAAAGCCACTGGAGGCCTCGAATTTGTGCGTCGCAGGGGGTCGCTGGCAGCTCTCTCCACTGGGAAGTTGAGTGGAAGTGGGAGAGAATTTGTTCACGTACATTCGTCACCCAAGCAATCCATTGCCACCCTTTGGATATGAAGCTGCTTGGGCTTTTGGATGGTTTTTGATGGGTGCAGCACCATCCAATCAGTGCCGGTGAACCCCCAGTCTTGGTGCGGTCGGGGTACATACCCCACTCAGACCAGGGACTTTCTCGGGGAATCGAAGGAAAGTCCCTAGCTGACCAACCTGTGTGCAGAATAGGACGCAGTGGTTACAAAGGTGGAGATTGGGGAAAGGGGAGGAGCAGTCTAGATCATGATGTTCACTCTTGATTCATAAACCCCCATATGAAGAGGCCTGTCAATTCAATTGGAGGAGGCTTATTAATCAAGAGTCTATATATAACCAATCTTTATCCTGACATGATGGAGTGTTGGGTGATGTTGGATGGATTCGGTGGATGAGGAGATCTTCACGATTAAGCGCACTCGCACCGGTGTCAGTTGTCCTGGCTCGGAACCGAGACTATGAGACCACCAAAACCATTGTCACCACGAACATGATATGTCGACGTAATGTCGCTTCGTCCGAATCATTCAAGTTGGAAAGAAAAAGGCCGAAACAAGGAACTCCGAATCATTGCGCTGGCCCAGAAGGGCGAACGGGTCCAACCCTTTGCCTGCGTACTCATCTCGTGCACCGCCACTTCAGATCGAATTTCTCAGCTCCAACCAGCTCCAGCAATCCAACTAAAAGGAGGGTGTGACAACGCGTGTCCGTCCGCGGAACGTGGATGCTTGGGAGAGGTCCGTCCGTAGGGTTTCTACCAGGGGTCGCTACGTAGGGTCTACCCGTGTTTTTTGTTGGACCGGGCATGGGTTGCCCTATGTTACACATGGATGGTTCAACCTGTGCAGGTTTGTAGGGTTGCTTGAAGGGGTTGATTCCCTGTGGATGTTTCAAACTTGTTGGACACCCAGAGGCTCATGTGCTCGACATGTGTGCTTCACTTAGCCTCTGAATGGGGACTTTCTGCCAAACGCGATTCCTTGGGCACCCGGCGCACCCTCCATGGCGGCAGCCTGCAAACGGTTGGAGTGACATGAGTGTCATGCGCCTAAATCATCCAATTGTTTGTCGTCCGAAACAGGTCAAAAGGAGAGATGTGGGGAAGCACCACCACAAACGTCGGATCCAAAGAATCTAGCATGTACGAGCAACATAAACAAACACACAAAGACTAAGCCATCTATCATCTATGTGATGTATGCTCCCTCACAAGGTAGCTACTGAGTAGTAGCAAAAGTATTGGGGGGCATGGGTTGTCCCATACTTCCTCTAGCATTGTCAATTGTATTTGTGGTACACGGGAGATGCTCTCAAAGGGTTCCAAGAACAGTTTAATGGCTGTACAAAGGATCCAAGTGAATCCTCAGAAATCATATATAGCTGGTGGAACTCTGCCAATCAACCAAGCCAAACATTCTCAAAACACCTTAGGAAGCACTCACTCTTCCAACCAAACCCAACTTCCAACCTAAGTGAAATCCAAATAGATTGGGGAAACAAATGCAAACTTCTCCCAGGCACCCTGAATGTTTCGGTTTAGAGTGGTGAATCAACACCCCGAAAGAAGAGAGAACAACAACTCCTTCCGGAACCCCATGATTAGAACACCCCGGATGGGAACCCGGAACAGGTGGTACACCCTCTTGCAACTATGTCTCTCGCATCCCCCTCTGTTTTTGAAAGAAACGGCCCAAGAACGTCATCCCCGGGCCCCTCCGCAGACGGCGCCCGGAAGGCGCGTCATCCCGCGCCGCGTCATCCGAAGGCGCCTGCCCTCGCTGGACGGTGAGGTGAAACTGTCGGCTCCTTCGGTCGATCCGGTCACGACGCGACTCGTGCGGCTGGGACGGTTCTGATCCGGTCCAATGCTCCCAAGATGTCCAAAGGTATAGCACATGGGCCGCATATGTTCCAATCACTGCATGGCTGGCATAAGAAGAAGAGAAAGTCACCTGAATGGTGAAAGCTTGAGCTGCATGAGAGAGAGCTGCTCGGGCTGTGGAGAAAAAACACAGATCGTTTTAAAGCTCAGCAAGTTGATTGCAAGGACTAGATCAGATGATGTCACTACTTGGAGCACAGCTGGCGAGTGTTTAAAACCAAAACATGGAGTTCCTGGCCATGCCTTACCTATCTGTTGCGTGTATATTATAATTATATTACATATACTATTACATAGCACATATATATATATGCTTCCGTGTCTTGTCTGTTGTCTTTTATTGAGAGTGTCCTCCCTTGATAGGCAAACCTCTACGAGGGCACCCCTTGTCTGCCTTTTATCAAGGGTGCCTTGTCTTTTAATTTCAGAAGGGGTCCTGGTATGACAGAGTCAGGTGTTCCATCACATGGATTCGATCCTTTCTGATACGAACGGCCGTGAGACGGGCGTTGGCCACGAGTGACACGGCCTCGCCTTCAACGTATCTCTAGAAGATTGATTCCATTCAACACCTTTAAGTAGAGGTACACATCCAATATCGGGTTCTGTTCATCCTGGTCAATGGACACTCTTCGACCGGGAAACAATACGCGCACATCCTTTTTCTGCAGTTTTGTTTGGTGCAGAGCTGCGTGGCCGCGAGCGGGCCAACTGATCACCGGTCCGGCACGTCCTGCGGTCGGGAGGCGACCAGACGGAGGTCGCTCAAAAAGAGTTCCCACAACGGATGGTCCGACATTGACACTACTTCATGTGGAATGAAATTGTGAACACACATCAAAAAGGTCTCCAAGGACATAGAAAATGACATTCCTCAGAAGCTCCAACAATCGTTTACTCTTTGGGTTTGGAGGGTCTAACGATCCTCTCAAGTGGCAATTAGTTGCAGCCTCGGGTATTAGCACTCGAAGCTGAATGCCTCAAAACATGACCTGGTTGGTGGTTTCAACTCACTTCAAAACATATTAGTCAGTGGGTTCGATAATCTAAAGTAAAAGTTTAAAGTATCTCACACCACCACCAGTGACCTTTTCTCAGTTAGTGTTGCCATCAGCCGGCTTCCAAAGAATGGCCAAGGAAAGACCTGCTACCCCCCCGTGTGTTTTCATGTTCGGGTTCCGACTGACTGACGGCGTACGTCTTTCTTTCCCAAACACGACGGCCATTGGGACTGGAATTATATGAACATTGACCCGTGAAATTCACATTGCATCTTATACGTGGAGTGTCTCGGTCTCAGTCATCATCTGTCGAAAACACAAGACACAAAGAGGCACATCCCCATCCGCTGTGGAACAGGGCTCTTAGATGAGGTTCCACAGGTACCGCATGCACTGCTATGCCTGGTGGCTAGAACTACGAGGACGGGACAACAACGTCGTAAATAGTCACACCGGGATGGTAGTAGAGAGAATGACAAAGCCTTCAAACTCCAAACCACTCCAAGCCCCCCAAAAGTAGTTGGCCCGCGTTCTAAGTTGCAGTGCTCAGTTTGTTTGTATTCCTGAGCCAAATTGAACAATAACCACAACAACCACACCATCAACCATACTAATTATTGTTATATTAACTACGACTACATCGTTGTGAGTTCACCCTGGATTGTACAATGATTGCTGCGGCTGCACCTAGCCTTCAAACGAACAAATAAATTTATGCGCCCTCCACTTACCCGAACCAATCTCAATAATCTCAAAACCAACCTTTGACCCAAAACAGAACAATCACGCCAAAGGTCCTTCCACATCACTTCTTTGCTGGCTTCTTCTGAAGCGCCTTCTTCACCTTCGACTTGCTCTTGCTCTCCTTCGCCCCCGGCGCCACCCATTCCTTCACCTCAGTGGACGCTGCAGGAAAGACACCGTCGCTCGCATCGGCCGCGAACGCGCTGCAAGTAGGGTGTTGAAAAAATCGAACAAAGAATGGCCACTGCATCGACTCAGAAGCGTTTGAAGCGTGGCTTGTCGGAATTTCATCGACTCAGAAGCGGAGAACTTGACCGTACGGGTGACCCGTGCGGACCCGGCGGAGTCGTGGTTGTATGCGCGCGGTTTTCAACGGTGGACTTGATGAAGCTGAGAAACCACCAGGTCACAAATTAAGGCTTCCCACTTGTCATGGGTTTTGGTACCTGGCACATCATTTGATATCTGAGAAATGAACGGAAATCTTGAACTCCCGAAAGCCAAGCTTACGCAAGCTACTTGGCAAAGTGATGCTGTCCAGGTAGCTGGGGTCCAAGCCAGGACCACAGGTCAAAGTATGCAAGCTGCTTAGCAGGCTCACAACTTTCAAGCTCTGGTTGAATTCCCAGCCGAAGGTCAAAGTCTGCAGGCTGCTTGGCAAAGTTACACTTGCCAAGCTCCGATTGAAACTGTGGCCGAACGTCAGGGCCTGCATGCTGCTTGGCAAGGTGACGCCTTTCAAACTCTGATTAAAACTGCTGCCGAGGGTCAAAGTCTGGAGGCTGCTTGGCAAGGTGACACCAACAAAACTCTGGTTGAACTGATGACCTAAGGTCAACGTCTTCAGGCTGCTTGGCAAGGAGACACCTTCCAAGCTCTGGTTGAACTCCACGCCAAAGGTCAAAGTCTCCAGGCTGCTTGGCAAAGTGACACCTTCTAAGCTCTGGTTAAAGTCCTCACCCAAGCTCAATGTCAGTAGGCTGCTTGGCAAGGTGACACCATCCAAGCTCTGGTTAAAGTCCGCGCCGAAAGTCAAAGTTTGAAGGTTGTTCGGCAAGGTGACGCCTTTCAAGCTCTGGTTAAAGTTCCGGCCGAATGTCAAAGTCTGCAGGCTTCTTGGCAAGGTGACACCTTCCAAGCTCTCGTTGAAGTTACCACCAAAGGTCAAAGTCCGCAGGCTGCTTGGTAAAATGACACCTTCCAAGCTCTGGTTGAAGCTGCATATATTGCTGAAAGTTAAACTCTGTAAACTCTTTGGCAGTGTGACGCCTCCCAAACTGTGGTTAAAGAACGTGCCAAAGGTCAAAGTCTGCAGGCTGCTTGGCAGTGTAACACCTTCCAAGCTCTGGTTGAACCTTTCGCCAAAGGTCAATGTCTTCAGGCTGCTTGGCAAGGTAACGCCTTCCAAGCTCTGATTGAACATATCACCAAAGGTCAAAATCTGCAGGCTGCTTGGCAAGGTGACACCTTCCAAGCTCTCGTTGAATCGATCACCAAAAGTTAAAGTCTGCAGGCTCCTTGGCAAGGTGACACCTTCCAAGCTCTGGTTAAAGCGCCAGCCAAACGTCAAGCTCTGCAGGCTGCTTGGCAAGCTGACACCTTCCAAGCTCTGGTTAAAATCGCTACCTAAGGTCAATCTCTGCAGACTGCTTGGCCAGGTGACACCTTCCAAGCTCTGATTAAAGCGCCAGCCAAAGATCAAACTCTGCAGGCTGCTTGGCAAGCTGACATGTTCCAAGCTCTGGTCAAAGAAAGCACGGAAGGTCAAAGTTTGCAGGCTGCTTGGCAGGGTAGCCCCTTCCAAGCTCTGGTTGAACTCCCAACCGAAGGTCAAAGTCTGCAGGTTGCTTGGCAAGGTGACAAAAGCAAACCTCTGGTTGAACAGGTAGCCCAAGGTCAATGTCTGTAGACTGCCTGGCAAGGTGACACCTTCCAAGCTCTGGTTGAACTGGTGGCCGAAGGTCAAACAAAGCAGGCTGCTTGGCAGTGTGACACATTCCAGACTCTGGTTGAACTTGTCGCCGAAGGTCAAAGCTTGCAGGCTATTTGGCAAGGTGACCCCTTGCAAGCTCTGGTTGAAATTCTCACCGAAGGTCAAACTCTGCAAGCTTCTTGGCAGACTGACTCCTACCAAGCTGTGGTTAAATCGATCACCAAAGGTCAAACAGGCGATAGCATCTGTCACTGTTGCATGGGTGTGGTCAAAAGTTCTTTGTGCCAGAGCCCCACGGAAGCTAATTGCTGCCTCCAGTGCGCCAACCTGTCGAACGAAGTATGAGATCTCTCGACTGCACACATCAACCGTGTGGAGGGGCTTGTTCGAGTCCTCGAGGATTTCACCGCCAGCAAAGAGAACAAGTTGTGCTCCAGCTCTCATGCCAATCCTGGTTGCGATGCTCTTGGAGAGGCTGCGCACCTCAAACAAATATCCACCGATTTGGGAACACCTGGAGTCAAAAACCTCGCTTTGAAGCGTCCAATCTTCGACTGGTTCCAGGAAGATCAAACTCCTTTCAACAATTAATCTGAGACACTAAACAGAATTTCCGCAAACAAGTTCAGCGGACCAATGCCCTTCCACAGAACCCGTTCAGCTTCAGTGGGTCAGATGATTTTACCTTCACACGACAAGAGGGACACGGAAGTATTTCTGTTGGTGTCATCTGCCAACTTTTGGTGCTACTTCCAGAAAATTGATCATAAATCATAAACTTTTAACCTCCTGTACATGTCAATGGATCTTTTATCTGCAACACAGTGGGCCCTCATCTTTATAAAACGATTTCATGGTATGATGAGCATGCATGGGAACCTCTAATTATCTAATTCCAAGGTGGGTGCAAGTTCGTTAGATTTTGTGATCAGCGCGCGCGCGCCCAATTCCCAAGTTTTTGAAGTTCCTTCAGTTTCCTTTGTCTTTCAACATCAACTCGTTCAGCCTACCTGCTGGTTCCACTTGCTGGGACTCCATATCAAGTCTTCAAGGATTGTCATATAAAGAAGGGCAAACCTGCAGCACATCCGGGCATCTTTTGTATCGAACGTTGAAGAAACCGTTTGGAGAAACCAACTGCCGACGGACCACGGTGGCCGTTTCACTCACTGGGAGCTTCAAGGTTGTTCCATCGAGGCCGTGGACGGTCCAAATGCTCTGCGAACGCCGTGCCTCGACGATGAGCCTCAACGGGTGGAAGCGGGACACGGGTACTCAAGCGATGATCAAAGATCGCAACCGGACGACAGGATGACAACAGCCTGTGAACAATTGCACTGTGACAATGTGTCAGTGGCAAGGCTGAGCCAGTCGGGAAGTGATCCAGTGTAGTTTTTGTGGACCTGCTCTTTTCCTTGAAGGAATCTGATTAATTTAGGCAAACCTTTAGAAGCAGAGCCTGCTGTTTTCGAAAGGTCTCCCACAAGGCAACATATTTCTACCCACTGTTCCTCGCGACCCAGGGGGGTCGCTCGTCCCAGTGATTGGAAAAGATTGGAACCTTCAACAGCCCTTGAAGGTGCACCTGTGCCTGATGACATGTGTTACAATTCCGGCGCTGAATGGAAACGATTCCGGCAAAGTCGGGCCGAGATTTGGGAACCAAAAGTGAGCGAACATCAAGAACCGATTTGTTCATTGTAATTAAACAAGCAGTCAATTTTCCAAACACAACCAAACCGAAGAGAAAAACGAACCGTTCCGCCCTGTTCCGAGGTCAATCAGCAAAGCGTATTTTGACGTTGTTCTCAGACTGTCCAAGGTCTTGGAGTTCCAGAGCAGCAGTCCCCCAGTGGGATGCTGCCCGGCTTCAGGCGCATTCACAAATTGCTGTCCTTTCCTTGTCCTGTTCTTTGCTTTCCTTTCCAATATGCTGTTTAGACGGCATGGACAAGCATATTCACAAATCGCATTCCTTCCCTTTCCATGTCCATTTTCCTTTCCTTTGCTTTCCCTTCCTTGTCCTTTCCAATATGCTGTTTAGACGGCATGGAAAAGGCATATTCACAAATTGCATTCCTTACCCTTCATATTTTCCTTTTCTGTGCTTTCCCTTCCTTTTCTGTCATGTCCTTTCCTTAAAACGGCTTTCCTTTCCGTTCCTTTCTTTCTGCTTTCGCTATTTTATTGTCCTGTCCTGTCTTGTCTATAGTCTAGTCTTGTCTTGTCTGTATATCTTTTCCTTTCCTTTCTCTACCCCACTTCATAACTTATGCCTCACAGAACCGAAACAAACCGTGAACCAAACCGAAAGTCCATGAAAAAAGCCTTCTACAACCAAACCGAACCGATTCGAAGATTCAATTAAACATTCAAACCGATTCAGGCCGAACCGAAACCATTACAGGTGAAAGCAAAAACAAAAACCAGAACCCAGTCATAAATCGGAAAAAAAAAACTAAACAAAAAACAATGCGGTGTAGCCTGTGCATCCTTTATGGGTTCCTTTCTGCAGCATAATTAAGAGTTTCATAATTAGTGTGATGTCGCGATGTGAAATATCATCTAGCACCAAACTCAGTTGGTTCGTCATGCCTGAGGTGAGTTTGTACACATGTATAAGAGATCCATTAAAAGCTTGGGCCATGAAACACCAAAAATGCAAAGAATTGGTCCCATGTGTCTGACCACGCTGTAGCCTAACTCGAACGAGTCATTTAATTCGAAATCCGGAACACCCGGTATTACAGTACAACTGCTCGGGACACACCAAACTCGTTGAGCAAAAGGTGCTTTTTTGCCAAGTCCATGATCTAGTCAACCAAACCACTTGAATTGAATTATAACCACATTGCCTAGACCATGCACCCCCCTTAAAAGACTTCCTAGCCGCTCATCTGCCCTGCGCAGCAGCCGCTCCGCCCGCTCCAAATCCTCGCCGATGAATGTCCGCAGCACGGCTTCGCAGGCAGCATCATCAAGAAGTGACACGGACGTGCTGGTGGCGGCACCCATGGGTGACGAGTTTGCGGTGGATCACGGCCACGAAGAACACCAGGAAGCGCTACGACAAAGTCGGCACCGGCGTGTGTACGTCGTGCACTGAACCCTGTTTGCTTGCAGATACTCCCCTCTAAGGCAGGGGCGGTGTTCGTGCCTGTTGACGTCTTTGGCTGAATTCAATCAACAAACCTTCGTCGATGCCCAGTGGTGTGCGACTAAAGTATAAAAACAAACGAAGTTCGGCTGCTTGTAGATTGTAGACTTTGCTTTTTAAAAAGACTGCGTCCTCTAAACTCACTCCCAACACCTTCTCAAAGGGTATTTGTGGATACTGTGGATGATATCCTGGGGTCCTCGAAGCTTTACTAACCAGCATTGATCACCCATAACGTGGTCAGCTGACCTGTCTGTTGTCGATGCTGCCCTTTCTCTCTCTATGCGCTCGATTTCGGTCAGCGGAACGAATCGGTCACGTCACGTCGAGAACATCCCGGCTTGCAACGGCAGGTTGGCTACTGTAGACTGTAGACTGTAAACGGTTGATTGATTTAAAACAAACAAACATATACGGTCTTTAAAGTGACCTTGTGGGAGTGCCTGTGACCTTTTACAGGCCCAAGTGACATCAAACTGGGATATCTCTATAAAGGTCACTTAGATGAACCAGGTACAGTATGGATCCTAATATGGAGATGTATAGTATACCATTCTGGTAGGATCTGGTGGGGAGGCAGGGAAATTTGGATGAACAGTCTACATGATGTGAGTAACTATAGAATCTTAATACAATACTCTATCATCGATCGGTTCTGCTGAATCATTTCCACCATGCCATCTGGCGAGACCGCGTCGTCTCATGTGACGCTCTTCAATTTCCATCCCTCGACGCAAACGCGAAGCGAAAACGACGCAAAGCAAACGGGTGGTACTTCCAGCGTTTCGTTGCCTGAGGAAATGCAATAATAGACTTCAAACAGCAGTCTGAAAAAACCCAAACACAGCAACTTGAGCAACTGCAGCAGCACAGCTTAACTCAGGGTTTCCATGAATCTGTTCGGCTTTTAACTCAGTGCAAAACGCGAGGTGAAAACAGCAAAACACGCGTCACGTGCACGGGCACTAAACATCTGAACATCCAAACATATCCGCCACCCCATCGTCCAACTGCCATGTATGATGTCTCGTGTGTGATGTCTCTGAGCTCCGTGAGCTCGGATGTTGAGACTTTTCTGGGGAAGTCCTGGCAGAATTTGGAGGATTCCTGGCTCCCAAAGCCCAGAATCTTCGACTATAACTTGGTCCTTTCATGGGCAAACTCCGCCGAAATTGAACTATAAGATGCTATAATAATAATTAAGTTGAAAGGATAATTTCAACGGGTCAAGCAGGCAGGGTTAATGACCAGTCACAGAGAAGCCTTTCTTCACCACTTGTTCCAACTCCTTCATGTTGACGTCAGCGAGGGATTTGATGTAGAGGCAGCCCACACCATGTTTACCTCAAAGATCGCTCAGCAACAGCACAAACAAATTAAAGGACCGGATAACCCCACATATGAGTCTTTACGAATCTTAAGTTTCTAAAGCACAAAGCAGTCAGAGTCTCAATAGCTTCTACAACATGGCCTTGTCTGGAATTATATCAGAATTACACAACAGAGGGGTGGGAGAGAGGTGTGGGAGAGTAATGTGCACGGCGGATGTACGAGGTATTGTGCAGACATGTGTGTACAGCCACAACTAGCCGAAGTAAAACCCCATCGCTCTCCCGACGTAAAACCCTATAGCCAAGCTCTGCCAGAGCCTCTAACGGAGCATGGAGGTTCACAAAGTGCTGCGTCCGCCACGAATTCTGCACATGGAGGTTCGCAAAGTGCTGTGCCTGCCACGTAATCTGCACATGGAGGTTCACAAAGTGCTGCGCCTGCCACGAAATCTGCACCTCGAGCTTCACAAAGCGCTGCACCTGCCACGAAATCTGCACATGGAGGTTCACAAAGTGCTGTGCCTGC